TTTGGTGTTGGAAAGTTCATTTACGATAGTGTGAGGATGTGAAAATTAAAGAATCTCATGCATGGGTCCGCACAAATTTTGTTGTTGTTGTATAAATTACAATAATATAAATGTAAGTTTGTAAACTTACCTTAAATGTAACAAATCTTTAATCTGGAACTTTCGATGTCGTACGTAGCAGCAGCAGCAAAACCTCGACTATCCTCTGCAGCTTGCCGTCTGTGAATAAATGAGAGAGAAAAGGTTTTGGAAAGGATCTGAAAGGGCTAAGGGAAGAAGAAGAAACGGAAATGTGTAATAGAGGTTTTTCAATTTTCGAAGGGTAAAAAAAATGTGTGATAATCTGATACTCTACCTCTGGGACGTACACGGTTTTGAACTTTTGGCAGTGTTTTTTTTTACACACACACATGGGTTTGACAGTGAGAAACCACTCCACCATACATTTTTGTCTTGTCACTATTTTTTTCACACACGGATATATCTTTTTGTCTTGTCAAGATTTTTTTTCACGGAAAATGATTCTCATGTGATTTGAAGGTGTAAGGCTACATGCCTGTATGGCAGTATGGGCATATGACAGTTTGGTTCAGTTTCAGTGGGTTTTCTTTGGATTTATTTGCAAAATTATTGGCACACACACACTCACACTAACCTAACATCTCACAGTCACAGGCACATTATTTTCACATCTGGGTGCAAAATTATTTTCACCTATTTTCACCTCTGCAACACTCTGCAACACACACACACACACACACGATGCAACACGCACACACGCACACACGCACACGCACACGCACATGCAACAAGCACACACGAACACACACACACGCATACCTTTCTGGATCCTTCTCTCTCTCCCTCGGTCTCTCCGTCTCCTTCTCTCCCTCGGTCTCTCCGTCTCCTTCACACGCACACGCAACAAACAGAGAACACAGAGCCTTCCGTCTCCGTCTCTCCCACGGTCTCTCCGCCTCCTTCTCTCCCTCGGTCCGGTCTCTCCGTAGTCCGTCCAATATGCTGGGTCACCTCATCACCTCAGACTCTCTCGAATCTCGATCTCGATCTGGATCCTTCCCTCAGTCTCTCCATCCTTCTTCTTCTCCCTCAGTCTCTCGAACTCGATCCTTCTCCGGTTCTCCCCCCATCTCTTCTCTGTAACTCCGCCGAGCACCATCACCACCTCCCCCCCCCATCTCTTCTCTGCAACTCCGCCGAGTTGCTTAGGGCCTTTTTACGGTCTCTCTACACCCTGGGGGACGTGATTTTGCTGTTGTTCAGCTCGTACCCACCACCTGTGGTTTCCTCCTCCCTTTCTCACCTCCCGGCGGCGGCGATGACGACGAATATCGTGATATTAGCGATATTATCGCGATATTTTAAAGATATTTTAATTTTACTCAAAAAAATATCGGCCGGTCAAAAAAACGATATTATCGGCGAAATATCGCCGATAATATCGATTTTTAAGACATTGCTTAAAACACACACAATTACTATGATATATAAACTGCAAAAGAGAATGACTATAAATTATAGGGAGTTTTAACGAAAAATCCGAGGTACTATTTATTTTAAGGAAAAATCACATTTTTATACTAAAAAGTCAAACATGGTACTATTTACTTTACCTTTTATGTTTTTCTTATCATTAAAACTCAAAACTTTGAAGTCATTTTATTAATTTTCCTTAAATTATAAAGCACTAGAACATATTGAAGTATCCAACAAGTTTTTTTTCAAATTAACGAAAAAAATAATGGAAGTTATCCATTTTCTATTTATCTAAGTGAGAGTTGTGACTTAGGCAAGCTAGACGTACGCCAAGATAAGGCTAAACGCCCTTTTTTATTTTTTGTCTAGATATCATTTGCTTGAAGATTAATCGTGACAGTGACCAATCGTCTAACGCAGGGCCTAGTCTGTGCTAGTTCACTTGTTTCATAAACAGTTTTCTTTGCAAATTGGTTGTTATAGGTCAAGTTACTTGCTTCCTTGTTGCGTAACATTGCAGTTGCCACAAGAGAAAGCCACCAAAGAAAAGATAATTAATTAAGTGACCAAAAACGTACACACTAATTAGGTTTGACTGTTTCAGAAACCGACACTTAAATTACAATGCCAAATAAAAGTAATATTAAAATATAAATAATATATTTATTAATTGATAAGGAATCATCCAAAATCTACAAGATATTATTTCATCCTCATCCTTTACTGGTCTCATAGTATTTGATAATTTTGACCTTCTTAGTGTCTGACAATTTTGTAATTAAATACACCCAATCCCGACCACGTCACCATCCAAAAAACCAAGAAAATAAAAATAAAATAAAAACCTAACATTCTACACCATCGAAAACAAAAACGATAAATAAAAATGAAGTGACGGCGCCATGTCAGCGTTACGTCACCCTTTCCACCTTCCAAACCTTAGCCAGTTCATTGACCAGCCATTCCAGCAAAATCAGACTTTTCACAAAACGCCCCCGCCCCTGGCGCACGATAGCTGTCGCGGCGCAGTTTCTTCACCCGTACACCGACACTTCTTTACCCGATTCCGGCGGCCCCTCGGACTTCGCCGGTTGCGGGATCGAGGCGAACCGGGCCGAGAAATCGCGGAACCCGCCGGCTTCGTCATCTTCGTCGACCGGTCCCTCGTCGAAGTTCAGGGCGTAACTCAAGGGATCGTATTGGAATTTCCCGTGCCTGCCGCCGCCGCCGGAGGAACCGCCTCCGCTTCTGCTTCGGTTGAACCGGCGGATGAAAGTCTTCCACTTGGGGCCGGCGACGATCTCGGACCACTCTCGAAGCTTGTAGAGGGCCTTGATGCCTCGGGACCACCACCGGTCATCGTTTTGGGAGGTCCGCATCCGCGACCATGACGACGGAATACAGAAGCAGCAGCGCGACCTTGATCCTCCATGGCCTATGGACTCCAAGTCAATGTCTTCCATCGAAGAGAGAGAGAGAGAGAGAGGTAGAGGTTTGGAAAACCCCAGTGGAGAAAATTGCGTCTCTCTCTGCGAAACGGGCTGTTTTATACAAGTGACGTTAATAGGTGGAAGTTTGTAACGGAAACATGAGGTGACCGGGGATTGCCGGTGGCCATTGTGACTTTCTGTGTGCGGAACGACCTGTCGTTTGGTGTGGTTCCGGTATTGCCTAATGATTAAGATTTTTTATTATTATTTTAATATAATTATTGATAATTATCCATTATTTATGTTTTAGGGAGCGGATGAACCTAACTTATAGGCATAATTATGGAAAAAAAAAAGAAATAAAAAAATTCCGAAATTAAAGAATAGTGGCGTTGTACGGTTGTAGGTGACGCTTCGGGTCGGAACGTGCGGGTCCCAGGGCTTCAGTGGAACCGACGAGAAACTTAAATACAAAGATGAACGGTGGTGATTAGGGAATCTGTAGAAACCCTCTCCAACCGACTATGATCAATTCCAGCGCTGCCATAGACTAATCACTCTACCATCTTCCTTCTTCTTCTCTTCCCCTTTTAGTATTTTAGTTTTAGGATGTGCTATCCACACACTTCATTTTACTTCTCACACACCCCTTGATAATTTCTGTCCATTAATCTTCTTCAATTCATCCGATCTGACAGCCGAAAATTAAAAAGGTGTGTGAGAAGTAAAATTGGATGTGTGAATATCACATCCCTTTAGTTTTTTTCCTTTGGCAAATTAGCATAAATTAATAATATGATCCTAAATCTTTGAGAAAATACGGGACTGTTCATAGATTTTCTGACACTACAGTTTAAACGTCAATTCTCATGCCAACATTAAAATATTATGTTAAAAATACGATGTGACAGAACGTCTACAGAGAGTCGCACTTTTGAGAGCCTGCTAAGCATTTCTCTGAATCTTTTAAATACGACAACGTGTTCCTCTAATCAGAAATATACAAAATTAATGTTTTGTAAGGTAGAGGAATATGAGAGTAGAAAAAAAAGGTAAACAGATTGGCACCAACCACATTGATTGAGAGAATCTGAGATAATGCTTTTCCATGAAGGAGGACAAATTGGCCACTCAGGCCTACTGAAAACGACGTCAGTCAAGCTTCTGAGTTTAAAACAATCAAAAGGAAGCAAAAATCTTATGCCACATACGACTTATTCAAACTAAGACAAATCTTATTGGAACAAGGGGGGTGAAGGGCTGAAGGTCAAGTCTGACGATCTAACCTCTAATCCATCACAATTTCTAAGCCTGTGAAATACCAAACAGGCCCGAAGAGATTCGGGCCGAAAACAAACGAAGAAATTCCATGAACACAGAAAGAAGGTAGAGAAGTTGCGAAACTGAGTCGATCCAGCGGAAGTTGATGCAGCAGCAGCACAGATTATATCGAGAAACGATGCACAAGCATGACACTGAGTAGTGATGTGAAAAGCAGAAGAAATGAAAAGTGCTTCAAGAATAAGTGATGCTAGGCCTAGGGCTTGATAATCACTTTTCCATACACCGTTGATCAAGAACAGCTCAAACAAAGTTGTGTATCACAATCTAGCATATATGATATCCTATAATCACGTAAAGTAAGACCAGAACCAGTGCACTTCCATAACAAGCATTTCCGGTGTCGAGCAAATCCAAAATGTTCTCAAACTATCAAGTATTGAAAAACGTAGTTCGTTAAGTAAAAGCAAAAATCGAAACACTTTAGTAGTATGATGCAACATATACCGAAGAAGAATATAAAACGATCCCAGGATGGCTCGTGTCCTGCATCTTTTCTGAATCTATATCTGACGGAATGTAGAAAAGATAGACATTCAAATCAGCTCCTAGTAAACAAGTTTCCAACAAAAACACATTTGAAGTACAGTTGAAGGCAAGTGGCTCTTTGCCACAGTAGTGGAAAGGAGTTGAGCCCTTGATGACGGTGTGAGTTCGAACTCCGTCAGTGGCTAATCTAACATCTAATCTAACAAAATCTATCATTTGACAAAAAAAAAAACACAGTTAAAGTACAGCTGAAATACGAAATGCCCTTTCTTTTATCAAACAAACATACTAGATTAACAATGTTTTTCGCACGTACGAAATTACAAGTAGCATAATATTGTTTAGGGACAAAGGCACAAAGTATTCCAAATGACCGATATTGTCAAACCATATTAACAAACAGAAAGATCACAGCAAACCAGTCCCTCTGGTACTAAACTAAATCCCACAAGTAGCAGCTAGTACTCTAGCATAATATCTACTGAGAGCTGATAGGGAGCGAGCTGCGCTTACATTGCAAGAGCTCCTCCAACTTGGCCACCATGAACACGCCAGAAATATTCTCCAGCATCATCAGCCTTCTCAGTATCAAGAGCAATTGCACCAAAGACCGCTCTGAAAGCCCCACAAACCACCAAGGGAGCTGAAGAATCCGTCTTGGGAGAGACTCTAACCACCTTATGCAACCCCAATCGCTTCCCGTCAGCAGCACAGGAAGATTCTACTTTCGAGACATCAGAAATGCGGCGGTTCAACTCTTTTGCAGATATCTCAAGGTTGCTTTCAAGTGATCTCATAGAGACCGATGTTTCTATGACATTGGCACCCAAAATGCTCAGTGCCTTGTTGTTCTCTTCGGAGAAGGAGGCATGGGTCATGGCACGGCGCAGGAGACCAATTTTTTTGTACTTATACCTGAAAATTATACAAAGAAACACAAAAACAGTACATTTCTCCAATGTCAGAGAGACACAATCAACATGCACACATACACGCACAAACAAACATATGCACATACACCGATACACGTAAATGCAATCAATTTTGATATTTATGCTATTTGTTTGGTTTCACAATAGTGCCCATATGGGACTGCTTCTCTAGAAAGCACTTGTGCTCATAAGCGCTTTTAACAGTGTTGTTAATAAGAAACATGTTGAAGTGATTCATGGAGAAGCAGACCTCTCATAAACTGCTTCTATGACATAGAAGCATGCCTTTTTACGTTTTTCTACCAAGTATAATCGATAACGCTTTTGGTTGTCGGAAAGTAAATTTAGCCCTTCCGGTGAAGGGTCCCAATCTGATGATAACATGGTTAAGAATTCCTTTCCTCTTCTCAAATTTTCTCGGAAACCAAACAGATTCAATGATCCAGAATTACGAGACCACAACGAAAGAGGAAAAAAGATGGAAACTTTACCCAATTTGCACCTGAAGGGTTTCGAGGGCTGTTTCGAACGGCGATGATCGTATGGAGATCTGATCGTGCTGCTCATCGTTCGCCAAACCCTGCACAAAACCACCAGCGGAAACTATAAACTGAAAGAGATGAAAGAAAGAAACAAAAGAACTTTTGATAAATCTGTATTTAATTTTCTTGTGCATTTTCTCAGGAACCAAACAGAGGTTTAGGGTTTAGAAACAGACCTGAATATGAGGAAGGATTGCGAGGACGAAAACGGCGGCGAGGGCGAAACGACGACGAGGCATTTTTCACTTTCTATTGTTTTTGCTTGGTCTGTGAAGAGTGAAAACCCAGCAACTGCGATGACTCTGCTTTCCCTTTCCCTTTTCTTTTATGACTGAGCACAAAAGGCAATAGTGTTTTGGAAAATTGGGTTTAGTCGAAAATTCAGCTCGTCGAAAATATTCTTTGGTACACCAAGTGTCAAATTATAAGCAGTTAAAAATTTATTTTTTAAATATTCAACTACCTATATTGTGACACTTGTACTGACGTATGTTCTTGACGCACTAAAAAATCTTTATCCTTTTACAAACCCACCAATCAAAACTAGCCACACTCTCAAAATGTAATTTTTACTAGCACTCTATAACGAATTGAAGTCCGTTGTTTCATTTAAGATTACAATTAAGATCAAAAAATGAAAATTGGCATTTTGTCGAGCGGTAATCAAATGGAGGGCAAATACTAGACTCTGCTCTTCAGATTTTGCCGGATTCACATAGTTGTGTAGTCACACGTAAAGAACACTGCAAGTGTAATTTGGTACTTTAAATAATAATTTAGTGCACTCCCGTCTCCATTGAGAATGTAAAGAAGTATTTGCCAGAGACAACTTTCAGTAAAAACTATGATTTCATAAGAAGAAGAAAAAATAGAGTATCATGTAAACACAAAGCCAGTTCAAATTTACAAACAAATGATGCCCTTTGTATCTATCTGTGAAGACTACTAATGACGAAAAGAAGAACAAGTTTTAACCTGTGAACTAAGAAGTTAAAGCCCATCTGGTTGATGGCGCCACCGCGTAACCATGCGTGATCATTGACGTCTCCAAATCCACAGTAACCCTTCGGTGATCATCGTTCTCTTCGAAAGAAACACCCGGAGCAGCATCATGTCCGGCTTTCCACCATGCAAAGAATAAGTTAGCGTATCGAAACATAAAGAGTTAATCAACGATTCCTTTGTGTATGCTTGTATCATCAGAAGAACAGCATCCATCGATGTTCTTCACTACCCTAGGCACGTTGCCGAACAGTGGCAGCTCATTCATCTCAGATAATATTCTCGAACGGGACTTGAATTTCCCAATTGGACCGTGCCCTGAGACTTGAATCGGTTGCCAGGCCATTGAGCAAAGTGATGACATCTGCTGTATCATCGAGGTAGTACCTGGCTTTACTAGGTTTTTGTCCGACAGTGCATGCAAAGATCTCGGGAGCTGCAGCTTGAGATGAACTATATGTTGTGCTCGATATGCTTTCAAACATGTCCTCGTCTGATCTATCATCCCCGATGCACAGCACAAAATCTGGCGCATTCCCATTACCAATCATCATGGAAAGAACTTTCTGTGCAACTATTCCTTTAGTAACTCCCTGCAGTTTAAGAAGCAATGCGACATCCTTTAGGCCACTATACTAACAGAGACATGCAAAAGTGAGGAAAGAAATCGGAGAACATCAATACCTGTGGCTTTACTTCGACGATATGCTGACCCTTTTTAACAACTACGGGCTCATTCGCAAGGACATTTTCGAGATGATCCAGCATTTCCATGGCCTGGCATGATCCGAAATCAGGATCAGCATCTAGATGGTGCCACACCAAGGCACTCTCCTTGGTCTCTATGTAGGAGCCATCGGTTGCCTCTGTATATAACTTCATCACAGGTTCTGCAATTTGCTTCCAATCGAGATCTATGGCCAACGAACAGGTTTCCCAACTGGATGCACTACTCCATCTGTGAGAAAATAAAATTGAACGCAGAATCAATACTAGTATAGACAATTGCCAGAGTCACATTGAAGTATAAAATTACATTTATAAGCACACGTAAGAACGTACCTTATGAAGTATCCATGCTCAGCTGCTATACCGAGATTCTCACATTGAGCAAACCATTCGCTAAGAGAGCTTTGGCCCCTTCCACTCACAATAAACACAGTGTTCTTGGGGTCGCTGCAAAGGTTTTTCAGAACAGAAATGACTTCGGAACTGGGGGTCTTAACAATAGAAGATTCAGGCATTATTGTTCCATCATAATCCAAAAATATTGCCCTCCTGTTTGTCCTCTTATATACAGAGAGGATATGATCAATCGAAAGCTTCCTAAAACTTGGAGAAAGCGACAAAATTCTGAAATTCAGACCAAAACCGATTCCCCAACAACGTTTTCTGTAATGATCTTTGCACGCTCGCTCCAAATCCTGTAGAAAACTGCGGGACCAGTAAGCCACATCATGAGAGCTAACATACCGAAAATGTTTCTCATGCCGCAACTGCTTTTCCAAATCAGGCATTGTGAGGGCCTCATTGAGTGCATCAGCTGCAGCTTCAATGTTCCACGGGTTCACCCTGATAGCTCCACTCAAAGATGGTGAGCAACCTATGAACTCCGAGACAACAAGTGTACTTGTACGAGGGGAATCAGAGGCAACTCCAACAGCTTTATCGATGTTTTGATTACCCTGCCTGCAAATGATGTACTCGTAGGGAACCAGGTTCATTCCGTCCCTTACAGCATTAACGATGCAACATTCTGCCAAGGAATAATAGGCAGCCTTCTCATGAAAGGGAAGGCTACGGTCAATCAAAACAACTGGCTCGTAGCCTGGGAAACCAAAGACTTGGTTTATCCTTCTGGTCATTGAATATGTTTCCTTTTTCGCTTCCTGAACATCTTTCCCTGTGCTTCTTGCAGGATTTACAATTTGAACCAGGACTACCTTCCCCCGCATCTCCAGGTGCTGCATCAAAAGTTGTTCCATGGCCATCAACTTTAGACTGATGCCCTTAAATATGTCCATGTCATCGACACCAACAATGATTTTCTTCCCCTTGAACTGCTCTTGAATCTCTTTGGCCTTCATGGAAGAAGAGGGATGATTTAACGCAGATTCAAGTTGGCCCATGTGTATCCCCGCCGCCAGAATCTTAATGTACACTGTGCGGCCAAAATATTCAAGTCCAATGTAGCCCCGCTTCGATTCATATTCAAGGCCAAGCATTCTACTACAACAAGAAAGGAAGTGGCGAGCATAATCAAACGTGTGGAAACCAATCAAATCTACATTTAGCAGTGCTCTCAGAATTTCATCTCGGACAGGAAGGGTCCTGTAGATTTCTGATGTGGGGAAGGGGGAGTGGAGGAAAAAGCCAAGCTTAACTCGTGTGAACCGCCTTCTCAAAAACGTTGGAAGAAGCATAAGGTGATAGTCGTGAACCCATACACAATCATCTTCAGGATTGATCACCTCCATAACTTTATCGGCATATTTCTTGTTAGCAGAAACATATGCCTGCCAAAGTTGCCTGTCAAAGCGACTACTAAGGTCCGGATACATGGGCAGCATGTAGTGAAAGAGAGGCCACAAATATTGCTTACAGAACCCATGATAATACTTCTTATGCAGCTCGGAAGGAAGGAATGTCGGCACACAATTAAACTCCTCCAGCAGTTTCTGTGAAACTTCTTCTTGCTCACTTGCTTCTACGTCAACCTTCAGAGAACCGACATATATTACCACAGTACCAGAAGGGAAACCATCTTTGAGTTGCAACGAAAGTGCATCCTCATCAAAACTGAAGCACCATTTCCCAGATTTTGCATCCTTCTGAGAATGTAGAGGGAGAAAATTCGCCACTATGATCTTCTTTTCACATACTTCCGAAGGAGGAACATTTATGTCTTCATTATTAATGCCGTCGCTACTTTCTGCATCAGGAATAACTCCTTGAAGAGTCATCACCCTTGGGAGGTTTCTGGGAGTCTGAGGAAAATTCAACATGTCCCCAGATGACAATTCCAACAAACTTAAGCAAGATCTTGACAACATGATTGCAGTTATGCGCTGTTACGCCAGTTTAATGACTTGGAGTTCCAAATAATCTACAACCAAGATTTTGTGCAAAGTAAGAACCTATATGAAAGGCAGCAAAAGACCTAAGATGAACCCGGCAATACTAAGAACAGACATTCAATCAATCATCACAAGAACGAAAAAATTTAGTAATTGGTGCAGCATCCGATCCCTATATCTAGACAAAGAAGATCATAAAGCATTGCAGATTGAGCAGATTTCTAACGAAAACACCATTCTTTCAGAGCGATTCGTATAACCATTAGGATCTAATTCTGCCTCTCCATATTCATACGCAAATTTGCTAAAATGTAACAAGAAGAGTTCATAATCTAGACCCATAGACAGAAAAATAACAACAACAACAGTAATTAAAAAAAATACAATACAAAAACATTAAATGGAAGGAGTTTACTAAAATGTATGCATATAAATACCTCGTTTATTAACTTAAAAGCAGATTCTGCATCAAATAGTGTTTTTCACATCCAAAGCCATTTCTAAAATCTTCAATTAACTAGAATGATCTTCAAATCAACTTCTCAGAGCAGCAATATTAATCGAATTATTCACGAAATCGAAAAGACTTGCAGTTTAAATTTTGTCCACAAAACATCGACTTCACACACACATATGCATCGTTTTGGAAGTGCTTTTGAAACGACTGAAATCGCTTTTGGTGAAATGTTTTTAAAACCAATCCATGCTAATAATCCAAGCGGATTCCAGAAAAGTTATCTGGTGCTTCTTGCCCAAAAACAATTCCACCAAAAGCACTTTCAGTCGTTTTAAAAGCACTTCCAAATAAACTCATATATACACACTCTTATGCATCAAGCTTATCTGCATAAAAATAACGGAAGCAAGGAATAATTTTCAATAAATGCAAATACATATCTGATTCGACTATTCATAGGATTCTCCTTACCTCTGTTCATTATTCATATCCTCACGTAACAGACTAAATCAAGTAAAAATTAAATTCCAAAAACCATTACTTGTCACAGCAACTTTTGCAATTTTTGCTCTGTTTTTCATCAGCATATTTAATTCACAAAGTTTTTTTTTAAATATTTTTTATTTTAAAGACTCAAAATCTTATTGATTTATCATTTACCATGATGCATAAACACAGCCTTTGAGCAAAAGACTTTATCTTTCTCGATTAAAAAATAAATTTTCTATGCAAACAAACATAACTGGAAGAATTGGAAACAAGTAATGAGGATAACCTGAGAGGGAGTCGGATTGATCCAACAACAAAGCTATATGATATCAGTGAAGAACAAGTTTCCTGCGAAAACACCTTACACATTCAGCCTGCAAAAACACCTTACACATTCAGAAAACAACAACAACAAGAAGTTTCTGTTTGGTTGCTGAGAAAATATTGAAAAGAGAGAAGAAAACAGCCGTGTCATTGCAGAGAAACTGAATCATAAAGTCAAACCCCAACAACCCAAAAAAGCACAAGTATTGATTTCCCTTAAATTCTCAGCAACCCAGAAAAGAGAACTCACTGTACAACACAGAGCTGTGAACAAACTCGCAGAGAGAGAGAGAGAGAGAGAGAGAGATACGGAGATATAGATGGATATGATGAGAGAAAGAATGTAAGTCTGTTTGATATTTTTTTATACGGGAAAGTGACCAAGAGGAGGAGCTGTGTTAGGTTGGAAACCGGTGGAATTTGTGAGAGTTTTTAATGGTTTCGAAACTGACCAAATAATTTAAGGAAAAATAGTATATTGGAAAGAAATAAAGTGGGAAAATATTGGGAAAAGAATTTTGGATGGAAGAAGATAGATATGGAGAGATTTAGAGAGAGAAACAAGAGAGAGAGAGAGACTAAGGTTTGGATTGCAACTCCTGGTTGGTCTTACGTTAATCCTGTGCTGTGCCCTTCATCTTTAAATAATGCCACTCCTTTCATCTTTATTTCATTTCTACCCCTTGCTCTCATTTTTTTTTCTTTAAAAAAAAACGATATTATCTATATTAAAAGAGTTGAAAGAGTAGACTGAGTCTGACAATGAGCTAGCAATAACGTAATAATGTTGTTTAAATTTGTCTTTGTCGAGAATCGTCTTATTTGTAAGTTTAGAAGAATGAGACTAGACCGTAATATTAAATGACCTCCTTACTCCCATTTATGTTATGTATTTATAATTTTTGTTCACTGAGTACGTTTAACATGTATTGTTATGCTTTGATCTAAATCATTAGTCATCATAAAACATTTTATATTGTTCTTCTTCTTTTCTTTTCTTTTTTTTTTTTTGAAGGAAAGGAGGGGGTGCAACACGAAAACTTCCAAGAGGTCACCGATCTAATATCACTATCGCCTGAACTTACTTAACTTTTCACGGTTACGATGAGATTCAGTGCATGTTGTTAATATCACTATCGCCTAAACGTACTTCCAAGTTATTTTATAATTGACCGTTTATTGTTTCAACATAAGGACAATTTTTTTTATGTTTGTGTATGAGAAATTCTAGTTCATTATCTATGATGGAACCATATCCGCAGGTCTTGCGCCCAACTTCAACTAATAGTCCTTGTTCAATTTTTTTTCATATATTTCCCTAAGTCCGATTAATGCGATGTTTTCAGAATTTGGTATAATTATGGTAATATTCCACCCTTAATTAGTTTGGCATGTTACATAATTAGACGATTTATCTAAATTATAAATCAAATAAGTTTTGATTGTGTGAGACGTGAAATTACCCGATAATTAAATATTGTTTGTATCAATATTGAGAAATTTTTTTCAATCTCTTTATTTTTGTGCATGTGAGAAATTATAATTCATAATCTATATATGTTGGCATCATATACATCCAAAGGCTAGTGAATCATAACCAAACCCACCACTAATCCTCTCTACACAAGAATACAAAAATTACAAATGAGTTTGCTAACTATTTATGTATAAAATCATTATGGAGTGCTTCAGTGGTTGGGACGAATTCTAAGTCCGTATTCCCAGTGCACATCCTAGGTTTAATTCTTGGCGTGTGTGAATTATGGGATAGTAGTTAGGAGGAGGCTGAAATATCTCTTTCAGCCTTTTTGTCCCCTATAAAAAAATGTATCGTGACGATACCACCAGCTAATCCTTTTAAAAGAAACAAACTATTTATGTATATTGAGTAACCTACAAATATACAACCTTTTAGCTAGATAAACTAGCTTGGCCTAAAACGTAATTACAATGGGTTTTGTGGGTTTAACCCTAATTCCTTAGGTACCGAAAACGAAACCTAACTTTTTAAATAAAATTATAAAACGATGTTATCCTTTAATAGTAGTGGTCTTTGTATTTACCAACTCTTTAAATAAAGTTTGACCATCCCTTCATAACTTAAAAAACAAATTAAAGATGGCTTGGGATAAATTAATCCTTGCATGCGGATAAACATAAAATAGGCCCACAAAAAATATTGTTTGGGGTCAATTTTTTTAATTGGACTATTGGCTACGTATGTAGAAAAGTACTACTATGATTTCAGGACTAAAATCATTGCGTAAGTTCTTAAAGAAATTGTGATATGTTCTAATTTTGAAATTAGATTGGTTACCGTTTCCTAAACATTTCCAGTCAATAAAAAAAGAAAATACCACTATTGTGGTCACTATATTTAATCAACAAAGTGACCTTTCAATTAGTCACATTCATGTAGCATTATTATATACATCCAACAAGAAATTACTTAGCCTAAAAGACCACGACGAGGGTAGAGGACTGCAACCCTTGGAGTTGCTTGCAAAACAATAAAATTCCACTGTTGGTAAATTTCCTAAAATACCCATCTACTTATCTATAGCCTTAAAACACTTCTTTGCTTTTAAGTAAGATTTGATTACAAGTTTAGAAAAAACTTCTATATGTTGAGTTTTTATCAATAATATGGTGTGCTACAATGTCTCGTGGTATTAATATCTCGTATTTGTAGTTATATAATTTATCTTTTTGTAGCAGTTAGATCTCATTGTTTAAATATGGCCATTTATTTTTCAAAATATATACGCTTTGTTGCATTGTAGAAAAATTGTATAAATACATATCAATAACCTTGCCCCTAGTCCTAAACCTAATTCTCGCTCCAACATTGATTGATAAATAAATAAAAATAAAAATAAAACTATACAAAAAAAAATTAAATATTAAAAACATTGTTTATATGACGAAAATACCCTACATTATTATTTTGGGCTGCTTTTGAACTTTTTGGTTTGGAGGGCATTGTTGTTCAAATTTTTTTGGTGAAGCCCGTGACCCCAAAAGGGACTATTGCCTTTATATATAGAGATTTGATTTGATAAAAGTAAAAAATAAAAATTTCTTAAGCATCTAAATATTATCTACATGTCTACTTATAACGCTTTGCAAAGATACATATGGGATGAAAGGAAAAACATGTATGATGTAAGGCTCATGGAAGTATTATCCCATTACCTTGAGAAGGAAGTGTATTGTGTGTTTTCACATGAAATTTTCACTATATGTTTAAGGAACAATCACAAAGTATCTTATTTATCTTGTGGCAAGATTTCTCGAGCAACATTTGCTTACTCATGTGCGAGTGTATCTAATGCATTGTATAACTCACTCACATGATTACATCAATGCCAAGTAAAATGCACACTTAAATGTCTATCCATAATAATACATACATAAACCATTGCCCTAACTTTCTTTTTTTTATCTAAAGTATCGCGACAGGATCAAAAGTTACAGAATCAAAATGAATCGTGATTCAAATATAAACTTGTACTAAAATTTTTAATCCAGTAATAATTCTCTTCATTTTAAAATGAATTGTCTGTTCAAATTTTGTAAATAACAAGTTTGATATCGTTGAATAAAAAAAAAAATTGGTACCTACATTTGATGGGGAGATGATCATTAGCATTTAGTGGGCAACCATTTTTACTGTGGTGGGGAGATTGGCAGTAAGCGCGGCTGCTCGACCACGAAATTTTCCTTCTTTCACGGTGTCGCCCATTTGGATAAGATCGGTTTTTTATTGCCTTTTTACTGTTTTGCATTCGCCAATTTCACGCGCGAGTAAGTCGGTGCGTTTGTTGAATTTTCACGCAAACGATGCCGTTTGGTTAACGAAAAGCCATTTCTATTTTTAAATCATTTTTAGTTTAGAATTTTTGAACTTGAGTCGTGTAGTAATTAAAGATTGCATTCAAAGTTGAATCATATTTTTTGTCGATGATAATTCCATTGTCGTGGATTTGGTAAAATCTTTCTCACTCGTAAGTGAAAAACTTCATATTTGATTCTCATAGATAGTGTCACATGTTGAAATCAGGAAAAAAAAAATCGAATCTAGAACACGAGTTAAGATTTAAAAAGTTAAATAGAATTAAAAAATTGAAACAAGATGAAAAATGAAATTCTTCTTATAAAAATAACTCAATATTACAAGATTAATATAAATAAATGGATAAACTTTCTATCCTCACATTTAATAAAGGGTGAGCTTCAACAGCTTCATAGAGACATAATTTTATCACAGTAAATTGACCACGCTAAATTAAGTGTCATGGTATTATACACAATCAGGTATTAAGTCATTATAAATAACAATGCAAGAAGGCAATGGAAAGAACCTTCACTATACCCGCTAATTTGTATAATTAAACACCCAAACCTTGTACATCTTATACCATACTTATACCATTTGACCCCAAGTGATAACTCTTGTAACTTAATCGCACAAATTTCCCTTTTTGTTAGTCGTCTTGCCTAAACTCTTTACCGCCAGTCTCGACTACCTAAAAGAAACTGTGCACTATGAGCTCGCTTGGTACCTGGTACCTACTAAAGTTTGGCTAAACTATGCAAAAGATCATTTTCATTTTCCTCATGTTCATATACAAAATAAGCATCCAACCATATTAACCAACCAATACGATCAACATATAATATAGCACTTCACGAAATTTAATAAGATCAATTTCCGTAAAGGTTTGTTGTATTTCTCCTGCCTGGATTCCAAAGCAAGCAAGCAATATTCTTCACCAACACGTCGATTAAAACAAGCGTCACATTAATTGAAATCCCTAGTCGACAATTATTGTTACTTACACGAGCTTCACAATTTATCCGGGTTTTTGCTTTGACGGATGCACCATTCCCACGGTGTAGGGAGTCATTGTGCAAGTGATAGAGTTTAGTAGATACAAGGTGCTTCTTGGTTAGCAAGGCAGAGATCAGAGTGCTTGGATTGAGTAGGTTACTCTTGTACCTTTCCTTGTATTTCTTTTGGATTGTCATTTTTTGAGAGCTTACGGGCACAGTACTCTCTAGTGAAGGTTATGTGCATTTTGTTGTACAATTGTTGACTATATTTGTGGGAGAGACACCACTAGTATTATTTATTTTGAGTTTCAATTTAGTATTCATTTGTAAATCTTGTGCGTATTCTTGGCACCCCAACATCCTAGAGTCACGTGTCGACCCTTGATATATCTTAGGATCGTGGCATAACAAGTCCGTATTCCTGAAAATACATTATGAGTTATCCTACTTAATCTAGTCCCCAACACTGTTTGGTATGTGAGAAAGGGGGTTTGGGAATGAGAAACTGTTGTGATTCCCATGCTTGATAAGTCTAAGCTTGGAAAATTGTTTCTTCACACAGAAAAATAAGGGGATAGTGATGCCTAAACACGCTTTGGTATTCATTTTCCTTCATCATGGAAAACAAAAGAAAGGCATTGATTGTCAATTTTTTGCAACATCCCTACAAAGTAGTATTTTCGATGCAAACAAAAATGAGAAATCAATTTTCTTAAAAAGAAGTTCATGAAAATTGTAGAAACGGTCATCACCTAAAAATTCATGATCATTAATCCTTTAATTCACCAAAATATACAATTATTATCTTTTTTCAATAAAAAATAATTAAGAGATCATTACTACAATTTTATCTTTTTTTTTTCCGTATTTTCAGGCTCAACTCATACGTAAAATAGAAGGGAAATGGCAGACAGATGTAATAAGGAGAAAACATAGGTCCATCCTGGAGTCACGCAATTCAAAGCGGATAAAATCCAGGAGACAAGGATCTATATATTAAATCCAATTCTCTCTCTCTCTCTCTCTCATCCGTTTTTTCCCCTCGTCCTATATTATCCTATTCCATTCCTTTTCCTAACTGGATTGGATTTGGACCCATTCCCATTTCCATTCCCATACTTCCATTCCCACCCTTCTTTTCCAGCACGCCAACATTTTCTTTTCTTTCAATCCAGTCCAGCACGCCTAGCTTATTCCAGTTCCCTCTGGCTTGGCTTCTCTTTGACAATTGACATTAATCCACGTGGTCACACTTGCTTCCTCGTGGTTGGTCGCTCCTTCTTGGGCCCCACGCTACTACACTACTAAGATAGTAAGATTTGATTTTTCTTCTGGCATACCCCACCACCTCTTGTAAATCTTGCGCACAAGTGGAATACAATCGTGTGTGTTTATGGTTGTGTGTATTTGCACAATACCATTCCCAGCCGGATGTGATGCAATACCAACAATTAGTAGCAAGGCCCTACACCATTCATCTCCACTTCTTTATTTTCCTTTCCGTGGCAAGATAACCTATCGTGAAAATGTAAGAACAAAGTCCACCATCGATAAGGGACAAATCAAATAACAGTTTATAAAAGATTGAGCTATTCTTCATATTAGAGTAAGCTGGCTTACGTGTGAAGCTCAAACGGTCACACATGTTCCACGTCAGTCTGTTTGTGTTATTCATGTTTTAGACTAAGGGCTTATATATATGAGGTTGGGCTACTCCTATATTACCAATTATTTTTATGGTAGAAAACTAACTTTCTTCACGTACTCGTATTAGATTTAAATTGATAAGAAAATATTTGTTTTATAGAATTTTATTTTCATGACTTTTAAATGCTGTTAGTTCTGTTTTAGTGTACTATTTAACCCGTGATTAAAAATAAGTTATCGTGTTATGTAGGATGGGGATTATATAAAAATATGACATCAATATGTAATGAGATAACTCCTAATCAAATTAAATACATAATAAACTTTCAACTTAATTCGTATCAATCGTCTCATAATAAAAAAAGTTTCATGTGAAGCCTTGTCACAAAAATAAAAAAAATAATAGAGATTTCAAAAGTTAATATTGACTAAATTCATTTGAATGATACATGTATTAACTAATTTGAAATATATCCAAGATATTTCATCCAATCATTGATAAAGAGATTCACATAAAGAGATTCGGCATGATCTTTAAACCAACCTTTTATCGGAAAAAAATTGTGTAGAAAGAATCGTGAAAGATGGTGTTAAAGATTATAAATTGACTATTTAAAAAACTAGTAAATCAATTTATAATCTTTAACACCAACTTTGAATCCAACACTTGCTTTAGTCTTTGTTTGCGGTGATGTAAGTCCTTCCCTACAACTTATCAATCAATAATTCTCACAAAAACAAAGTCTATACGATATATATTATGAAGTGAACAAAATGATCAACTAATTCTTTCACTCTTTCAAATCCAATTAATAAATGAGATTTCAATATTTATTTTTACAAACATAGACGATAATGTAATATTTTAGATTCTGTTAGTCGAAAGTAGTCATCCTAAACATAAACAAATTCAGATATTTAACGGATACAGAGAATTCGGGCATATACGATCCTCCACGTTGCTATCACTAGTAAAGAGGTGACCATAGTCTACAATGGATATTCGGATTAGCAAGGGAATTACATGAAATAAAATAACTCACTTATCACCAAATACTTTTTTTGGGAGCAGAAAATAAAAAAAGGGAAAGGCAAAATATAAAATTAGAAAAATAAAGTCGAACGCTGAATTAAGACTAGGGTAAAAGGTGGGGCCCGCGTTATCTGGTTTCCGTGGTGGGCCAGCCACGTATATTAGTCTCGTAACGTGCCGCGGGCGGCATGAGGGCGTCGGTCAGCCGATTGCAACTTTGCGATCGCATGCAGACAGAGAGAGAGAGAGAGAGAGAGAGAGAGTCCTTATCCGTTAAAAAGACCAAGAAGTTGACAAGCCGGCGGGTCCCACCGTTTCTCCGCGCCCGTTGCCGATTGGTATCTTCCGGTTCTTACGCGTTCTGTCCTCCCGCCTGACGTTGCTAAAATAGGTGATGACGTCATTTCAAGTTGGGGATTTTTCCAACCAAATAAGTAAGGGCTTGGTATCTTATTTGAAATTTTTTATTATTTCTCAAAATATTTTTTAAGAATATTTCTTGAATACAATTTTATTTAAAACTAAAAAACTTGATTGGTTTCTGATTTAAAATTTTTAAATCTTATAACTTCAATTAGACAAAGAGATCTAAAAATAGGAGATCGTAAATAGAAGGAGAAAGAGGAGAGAGGAGGAAAAAAAGTAAGAGATGATTGAAGGAAAGAGAAAGAAGAGAGAGGATCAGACGAGATAGAGAGGAAGAGGAGTGAGAGAAATAACCGAGAGAATAAAGATAGCGGATTGAAGAAGAGACGAAAAAGGTAAAAAAAGGGAGAGGGAAAAAAGAAAAGATAGAGAGATAGATTTGGAATGAGAGGGGGGAGGAAGCGAAAAGAAATGAGTGAGTTTAATCTTAAAAACTCTAAAAACTCATTTTTTATGTTTTTAGAGAATATACTATATTTTTGAGTCAATCTTGAGTTCATTTTTTAAAATAGCCCTACCAAACAAGTTTTTAAGACCTAAAACTTGAAAATTATTTTTGAGTTAAAAAAGTTGGATTCAAGTAAAATACCAAATAGACCCTAAGGAATTTGGTGAGAAATTAGAAATATCAAACACAGGAAAGAAACATTGCTTCTTGGAACTTATCTGTTGATTTATTTAATAAAAATTAAAATATATACTTTTTATTAAATGGGTCAATGGGACTGGAAAGGCAGCAGTGGAGAATTTTCTGCCATAGGCGAAAGCATGACGGAGTAATGCCAGTTATGGATTGACTTTGTCTTTGAGAGGCCAAGAGAGTGGAGACCAACACTGTGGCGGATAATTGGTTGGACTTTTTGGCTTAGGAATGGGCCTAGACCTTGGGTAAAGTCAAAGAAGTTGGGTGAATGAGTCCATAGCTATTGACCTCCATGGAAACCCAACTTTGAGGGCATTTCCCACTCTCCTGATAGTGGTGGTGAAGTGGAAGGCATGGAGTTGTTATTTATTGGGGTTACATTGAATTTAATTTCACCATTTACAACCGTTTCGGTGGAGTTAACATTTTTCGCTATGAATATTATTATTAAATTTTCACTCCATAACAAATTGAGAGATACATGGTCAAACATGTTAATTGATTTTTTTATGTTTTCGCTGAACAGTTACACTTTGATCCGCATGAAATTTCTGAATCCGTCGGTGAACATGAACACGATCAAGGTCTTGGGAATTGGGTTGTACAAGATTACCAAATGTTTGACATTGTCAAGTCTCCCCTCCCCACCTAACTAGATCTAGATTATAGGCTTGGTGCAATATCTACCTATGACAACAAAAATGAATTTGGTTAAAAGCAATTGTTTTCCCATTTTTTTCCTTAATGTGGAAGAAGAATTGTAAGATTATTCAAAACCTATCCAAGAAAGTTGAGACTACATGACTTTTCAATTCATGTCGTAGGTTGATAAACGCCCACCAAAAAATCATTAGACGTTTAATTTATTCTAGGTTAATTTCAGAGTAATGATTCATTTGTAATGATATACCATCGATTTATTTGATATATTTGAATGGTTAAGCGATTTTCCATTCGAATAAATTCTTTTGTAGGAATAATTTTCAAATTTAAGACTAAAAAATTAAACGGTTCCGATTATAAAATTTTTATAGTTAAAAAAAGTATTAGAAAGTGGGGGAATGAGCTTATCCGTAAAGAGAAATGCAAGTGTTATTCACCTCGAAATGTTTATGAAATATGAAAGGGATGGAACAAGAAGGTTCTAAAGAGGTGGAATGCAAGTTTTTTTTTTAATTGAGAAGTTCCTCCTATAAGTCCATTAACACATCAATGGTGATTCCTAAGTCCAAACGCCCAAAACCTTAAAATTCCGAAACTCAAAAGCCGAAAAGTAAAAAAAGAGCAACAAGATACAAATGTTAGATAGAGCAATCAACTAGGACAGCGTACCCGCTCCTTTAAATTTGATTCAAATCCCCTCCCCATAAATTATATTAAGTTTATAACAAAATATCATCTTATAAAATAAAATTAAAAGGACCAAAATACTAGTTCAATTTCATTTTTTTTTCTAGAGCTAGTTCAATTTAATTGAAACATCATAATTCAGACAGCGTAATCAAAAGACTAAAAATCCCAAAAGCCCAAAATAACAAAAGCACGTAAGCCTTAACTGATCTCAGAGTCCATAACCAACACTTGAATTTAATGAAACTCAAATACTCGAACTCCAATATTCAGCTGACGCAAATGATCTGATGGTGACAAAAACCTAATAGTTATTCGTAAATGGTAAAATATGTGTATTCTTCTCGTACAGTGAATGCAAGTATTATGCGTACAAAACAATATTTGAGTGAGTTGTCATTTTCTAATTTAAAGCAAAGTAATAGCATGCTTAACAGGACACTTCCACCAGCAAATCATGGAACACAACCATATATAGTTTGCCATCATATAAAATTAAAACACACACAATAATGATGTTTAGTGTTGGGATAGATTTTGTTGTCGTCTTCTTGAATATTCACTTGTGTTTTGCCTCATCAGCTGCCAGCGTTCCAACTCCATTCATTTTAGACCCATTATTCACCTTCTTTGCAAAAGATGGCAAACAGAATGCAGCCATGTGCACCTGATCAATTGGAATCGACAGAAATTAAAAGAGAAAGAGAGAGAATCGAGCTTTAAATTTATAGCCATGCATAATTAGTTAGGAATTATGTTAGGTACCTCAGTGTTGTAAAATTTCAGGGGCTCTTTTGCAACCCCATAACTATTGTTGGGGTCTATTGGGTTGACAGGATTTCTGAAATCCACCAGTGGCCCCTCCGTGGAGCAAAGCAAGAAACCAATCACCCCACTGAAATTAATAATCGACTGAGAGTTGTTAGAAAATAGTGTTTGAATTTTTTAATTAGTACTAAGACTAGTAACGAGATACTTAGGAGTCGTTTGAAAACTATTTGTTTTTATTTTTATAAAAACTGAAAACTTGTTCTGATGAAAATATGAAATCAGAAACGAAGAGATGCTTTTGTGAAAGTTTTCAAAATTTGGTTTGTTTTGAACACTGAAAAGATTATCAAACGGATTAAAGAGCTATATGTATATAATATATGCATACCTTGGATATGCGGGAACAATTGTCCATGCATACCGAACAGAGCCTTTGAATATTGGTCGACATTTGACCATGAGTTGCTCAATGTCTAAAGAACGAAACCATATGCTCTCTGCTTGAATACACATGACTCCGCCAGGTAGGAGGGCTTTTGCCACCAACTCAAAGAAGGGAGTCTTGTGAAGCTCATGATCCGGCCCTGCATGCATGCATGCATGCACAGAACGATAAATTACGTCGATCATGTTGTATATGTTAACTTTTTTTTTTGCTAGATTTATAGTAATTCACAGATTATTAATATTTGGAAATATTTTAGACACATCTACATACTAATAGGATCAAACGCATCCACTATTATCGCATCATATGTTCCTTCTGGGACAGACTTAAGAAATGCAGAACCTGCAAATTTAACATGAATTAAGGACTCACCATCTTTAGAAAAAAGCACATACAAAACATAAATTTATATAGAAACTAGAAAGGACTTAATTACCATCTTTAACGTGAAGGGTCACCCGAGGGTCCTCGTATCCAATAGCAACACTAGGAAAATATTTCTTGTACACCTAAAAATTTATATACAAATTGCTTAGAAAATCATGTAGATATTTTAGTTTGAGAGCTTCTATTTGGATTACTTCCTTTCGTTTTCATATAGAATTTTTTACTCACATCAACCAACATGGTGTCTATTTCGCAAATATCAATATGCTGGACAGAAGAGTGTCGAGAAATCTCCCTTAAGATACCGCCATCTCCTCCCCCAATGAGTAAAACCTTAATTTTTGACACATAAGAAAACAAGGATTAAGTAGGTGACAAAAAATTATTGCATTTACTTGATGAGCTTTCTAATTTTCTGCAAACTAGGGATTTATTATTATTAGAGCTGGCAAGATGGATTCGACCCTTTAACATGACCTATTTAGGTCACATAATTTCAATTCACGGGTGAAGACATAATTAGGTGGCAATAATGAGTGAACCCGTTAGCAACCCATTAATCATCCATTAAAGAGTTGGCGTTGACAGCGGCCCACTGCTGCCCTTGATGTTCGATTTCAGCCTTGCAATAGTGACCGCTGACGGGAACCCAGATGTTGACTCGAATGAGGACGCGAAGCCTTTCATAGTGGAGGGTTTGGAGTCGGGCTGGAAAGCGAGAAGTGTTGGTCAGTTGGAGAGGAGGAGCGCGGCGGGGATGGAGATGACGTCGCATCGCCGTGGTTTTGGAGGAGGCTAAGAGGGAGAGGAGATTGGAGGTGGTGGAATAGAGCAAGTGGGTAGTGGGTTGTGGCGGGTCTAGGTTGTTGCTGCTTTGATTTGTGGTGGTTCTATTGGTGATGCTATGAATAAGAGATGAGCTTTTGTTAACGGATGAAACAGTTGACCCGTTAACTAAACTGATCATTTCGAGTTTAACTATTTTCACTCATAAGCTTAATAGATAAAGTTTGGGTGATCCAATAAAAAATTAGGGCTTGTTTGGTACTACTTTTAAAATGGTGAAATGTTTTTTTGTGAAAATATTTTTGTAACCAATATTTAATAAAAATGCAAGTGAATTATAGAAAAACACTTGAAATGCTGTCTGCAAGAAGCTCCTAAAAAGAACTTGAAGGGCTGCCTACAAGAACTAGTTAGGTGCTTGTTTTTAGAATCCATAAACATTTTATCTACAAGAATTTTCGGTCATTTTAAATATACTTCCCAATGAGCCCTTATGTTGTGATGAACCCAAACCAATTACCAACTAAACTAAACCATTTACCAGCTCTAATTATTATTATTAAGTACACTTCAATTACACGTAAGTTAATTTATAGAAAATTTGAGTAGGAATTATGTATGAAACGTGTAAGATTGACACTTGTCTTCTTTCCTTCACATGATATGTTGTGGGGTATTCTCAAATTCTTAATTGACTACCTTGTTTGTTCAAAAAAAAAAAAAAAAAAAATTGACTACCTTGTTTGGGTTCGGAATGGAGCAAAGAGGAAGATGTGTAATCATTTCTTGGTAAGCAAACTCATCCTTCTCAGTGAGTTGGAGTGCTCCATCCAGAATAAAAACCTTGCCATATGCTGATGACTGCAAATTAGAAATTAATCAACTATATATAATTTAGCCAAAGGTTAATTAGTCAACGTACCCTACAATAATTTTCTAATGTAATCACGTCCACACACACATATATGGTAATATTTTGATAGTGTAATAAGGCGTTCACAACACAAACACCTATCTTGTTATTGTAATAACAATATTGTGATTATATGTTAACTATAACTTTATCATTATTATATAACATTAGATTGTATACTTTGACAATTAATCTAACCTTAGATTCCTTGTAATTTAGACATTAAACATTGACGTCATATTACGTTAAAGTAGCTAAAGAATCCAAAAGTAAATTCATATTGACTAGTATTTTTATTATAACAATGAACTCCAACTCCTTTTTCTAAAGGTTACCACAAACTTTCTCTTAGTCAAAAAGTTTTCTTAATGACATATTTAGTTAAAAGTTGCATTCTGCACAATAAGCAGATTTTATTTAAATTGTATTTTCGAAGTGAAATGTTATATTGTTACATTATTAATATTACCCAGTTCATTTGTTAAATTGTGTGACAAAGAGAGTGATTTTCTTTCACACTATATAACGGGGACTGTTAATTAATTTACCTGAAATACCATCATACTTTGATACTCGGACCTCCCTTGAAATAAGATTTTTTCTACCTTCAAAAAGTGGGCTTGCCCTACAAGATCAAGAAAGTAAATTTATTCACCGATAAGAAAAAATGGACATGAATCCTCTCCGATCCAATTGTCCGAATCATAGGAATCAATGAATCCGGACCATTAAAATTTGATTAAACGATTAAAGTTATTATAACTTTTAAAGTATAACTCTGTTTGTAGCCGTTAAATCAAATTTCAATGGTTCAGATTTATTGATCCCTAGGATTAGGACAATTGGTTTCGGAGAGGATCTATGTCCAGAAAAAATAGCAAGCATTTGTTTTTAGACTAAAGTTGTGAAATCTGAAAACTTTTTGTCTATTTTACATTCAAGAAAACTAGAAAAGCACCACCCAAAAAGAAACCTCTAATTCCTGTACCATCTCCTCCCTATCTCACTGCACAGCTTGGAAAGCTAATCTAATTAACTCCATAAAACATCATTGAACCTACAATGGATTTATGTCTGAACCTCGATTACTTCGACGTCTTAGAAGTAGGGTCAAGTTGTAATTGCTCAAAATTAAGAATTTGAGTTTATTGGATCATGCGAGTTGGTAGAACACGTGTTGAAAATTTAGTAAGACTATATACACAACTCCCTTGTCTAAAGCAAGAATTACTTGAATTGAAAACAATATTAAGCTATATTTTCATCATGGTAAACAATAATGAAATAAGCGTATTCATACATATCACAACATGCAGAAACGAAATTGTTACTGACTAACTAGAACTCAATCTGAATTCCTTGAAAAAACTAATTAATTCAATGCAAATTTTGAATCAAATTAAACAGTCATACAATGTATTCTAAAATTTAAAAAAAAAAAAATTAACTTCATGTCAATTGAAACCCACCTGGCCATATCGGACAATACTCAGAAAACCATCCAGGAACCTTTGGATGATCATCAGTAAGATTATCATCTGCAAGTTCTTTAGTATTGTATTCAGTTCCAGCTGAGATTGGTGGAAGGGAGACTTCACTATCGCCATTTCTGACCACCACAACTCCATCTTCTTTTGCCATTTTAACATACAAATTATATTCAGATATGCTGTCTGCTCTATGCAACAAACCCTAAAAATAATTCGTCAACTAATTTTGTCTAATGGATTCTCTGAGTTGTAGTTAATTATTTGTCAAAACTGAGGAGGCTCAGCTTGACAAATAACCAAGCTATATAGTGTTTCTGCGGGGTGGCTAAACCATTTGCTCATTTGTGCATACTTATAGGTCCTAATGACGGTGAGGAATCTAATAAATTATTTACAAGCAAAACTCTTTTGCAAGGGAAATTATGTTTTATTAGTATAATATTAGTTAGATGAAAGGAAATTTTTTGTATGATAATCACACCACTGTGTAGTGTTATTAATTCACAATAGTAAAATAACGTGATTCATGCCTTACTAATGAAAAATCATGGTAGAACATGGTGGGTGTATATCTTTTCATACTATTATTAAAAAAAATCATATTAGAACATGGTAGAATATGGTGGGTGTTTTTCTATACTCATAGGCAATTATAGTGTGTAAAATGTCACTTATTATACTGTTTTCATCCTTAATAAGTTTGATAATGAACAAAAAGAAAATGAAAGAAAAATTAGTTGGAATGATCAGTTTTTGACATTTGGTTGCAGAAATGAACAGCTTTTATCATGTCGTTATTATATTATTGTTGTGTGGTTGTTATGTCATTATTGTATGATATATATGAGTATCGTTACTAAAAACTGATCATTTCTGCAACCGAATGTAATTAAAAAATTGATCATTCCAACTAATTACCCAATAAATAATGTCAATAAAATAATTAGCTATTGTTTTAGAAAAAAAAAAAGAATTAGCTATAGTTTTACCCCTTCAGTTTCTCTCTCTCACTTTCTGTTTTCCTCTTATATTTAAATTCCTTCGTATCAGCCACTTAGTATTATAATCTAGTGATATTTTCTCTTCACTTGTAAGTGAGAGGTATTAGGTTTGACTATTGTCAAAGACGAATTTGAACCATATTAGTGTTAACTCATTATGAGGCTTAGCCACTCCCTCACCCCTTTAGTGTTGATAATATCGTTTGTAAAAAAAATTAAAAAATCCCTCATATCAAGACACGCATAGTGGGTGGCCTCTAATCTTAAGTATATACGGTGAGTACATCGGATCAAAAAGCAATATGAACATTGGAAAACAACCTTTTTACACTTTGAGAAAGTTGTGTGTAAACAAAAGTACGTACTAAAAAGAAGTGGGAAAATGTAAATTTTTGGGTCAAAAGGGGAAAAGGAATTATATCGTGTAGTTTCACATGAAAAAAACATGTGTTCTTTTATTTAGCATTCTATAATCACTTCTTCTATTTCATAAATTCAAAAATGATATTTGTCATACGAAAAAAAAAAGATATTTGTCACAAAATGTGATTGAAAAAATTTGAGAAATTTTGTTTGTAACTATCATGTTCCCAACTGTTACTAAAGGGAGTTAATACACCATTTTAATTGTAACAACAATAAAAACAATGCCGGAGCAGTGACGGAATCAGGATTTTCAGATAATGAAGTCATTTCGTCGAGCACTAGTGGGCACTGCTGATTCTATTGACATTTTTTGAAAACTTGTGCTGAAGTATGTCGACAACTATTATGAACTGTAGAGGCTTGTCAAGGACAACAATTGCAGGAAATTATTGAGTAATGTTGGAAATGGCCAATGTTTGTCAATTGAGGCATTACATCAACACTTAGTGCGCACAATACAGTAGCATACAAGACAAGAGAAAAGGAAGATATGGACAATAGAAGAAAAAGGAGGAAGTTGTACTTTAATTTGTCATATTTGTTTATAAGGAAAACTAATGAAAATGATTTGAAATTTTTGAATTTTAACGATAAAGACAAAATAAATGGTAAAGTGAATAGTACCAGGATTAATTTTTTAGTGTAAAAATGTAGTTTTTTGTTAAAATGATCAGTACCGAAAGCTTTTCGTTAAAGTTCCATTGTTTATATGGGTTAAATACAAATATACATAAACATTTTGAAGCTGTTAGGATCATGGGCAATCATTAAACCCATGCTGATTGTGCCAGAAGGAGATAATAAAAGTTTTTAAGTCTTCAACTCAAGAAATTTTTTTTTTCAGTTTTAATGAAAAAAAATACAAAATGAAAAGTAGAAATAAAAAGTAAAGAACATTTGGCGCGTTTTTCCCGTTCATGCAACGGTCATGAAAACCCGAAACCTCAGCCCTTCCTCTCTTCTTCTTCTTCTTCTTCTTCTTCTGGTTCTTCTTCTTCTTTCTTCCCCCACAAATCTCTCAAACTAATATGTCTCTGTCTCGTGGCTAAATCTTAAAACGCCTAGAGACGATGCACAGCTTCCAGCCATATGCCGCAGCCTCGGCTCGCTTCCGCAACTTCTCGACCCCATTTTCCCTAAGCAAGAAGATCCCGTGGTGGTACCAGATCCTCGACCCAGGATCCGAACGCGTGACCCAATGGAACCACATCTTCTTTGTCATATGCATCGTCGGCCTCTTCCTCGACCCCCTCTATTTCTTCTTGCCCACCACGGCTAGCGACCAAGTCGCTTGCATGCAGATCGACATGGGCCTTGGCATCTTGGTCACCTTTCTCCGTACGGTTGCCGACTTCTTCTACATTATCAATATCCTAATCAAGTTTCGAATTGCTTATATCGATCCAGGTTCTAGGGTTTTTGGGCGGGGCCAGCTCATTAAGGACCCCAGGGCTATCGCCATCCGCTACCTCAAGGGCGACTTCTCTATCGATCTTGCCGCCTCCCTACCACTCCCACAGGTAGTTACTCAACAATGATTTCTACACACTCTTTTTCTCACGTTTTTTGTAGTTGTTGATTAAATAAATCAAAGGAAAATCAAACGACATAAACAAAAGGTGGAGTGCAAAATAAGAAAACAGGTGTGCGGGAATCATTTCCCCCACAAATTTGGAGTACATTTCCTATCTCGATATTTGGATTAATTTTTACTTTTGTGTTTTTAACAAATTTTTTGTGCATATGTGTTAAATTATAATTTGTAGGAAGTATCCGAGCAGTGTCCAACGAATACCATCACTTATGGAATATATATAATTTATTTTTGTTTTGTTGTGTTTTTTCAGATTGTGATTTGGTTTGTAATTCCAGCAGTGAAAAACCCAACAGCTGCTCATGCTAATCATACCCTTTCTTTAATTGTGCTCATTCAATATATTCCTCGATTTATTCAACTTTTCCCTCTCAACCGACGAATTACTAAATCGACCGGCGTTGTAGCCAAGACTGCTTGGTCAGGGGCAGCTTACAATCTCGTTCTGTTTTGTCTAATTGCACATGTAAGAACCTAGATGGCTAGTTATATCTATGTGTGTGTTTGTATCCCATTTTGTTTCCGTTCAATTATTACTACGTACTTACAATTTGACAGTGACATCTTACGTTGTTAAGCTGTTGATTTTGATATCATTGTTTTGATAAGCTCTTCTTCGAATATGTGGTGCCAAATTGGTGTTCTGACAACATAAAATGCGAGATAATAATAATTGATCCAGCGATTTACTATACCGCGCCTTATTTATTTGGTTTGATTGTTAGGATGGTTGTTGTTCTTCAGTGCAGATTGTTGGAGCTTCATGGTATGTGATGTCCATTAGACGGCAGTACGAGTGCTGGACGGGAGAATGTAAAAAGGAGGTGAATAACACACATTCTCCATCCTGTAAAATTTCGTTTCTGGATTGTGGCAGTGCCGATAACCCCGAACGAAAACTTTATCTGCAAATCACAAAAGTTCAGACTAGTTGTGATGCAGCTGGTAAGGACGAATTTGAGTTTGGAATGTTTGCGGAGGCTTTCACTAATGAGGTTGCTTCTGCATACATCATTGAAAAATATTTCTACTGCCTTTGGTGGGGTATGAGAAATTTATGGTATGCTTTGCTGTTACTAGCTCAAGCCAAAATGCATTTTTCTGCTGTTACATTTGGATCATATAATAATAGTTACTTGTCCGTCAAGGAATGAAAACAGTTAAAAATTAAGCAAGCTATTTGTGCTAATTCATGTCTTGTACTCATTTCGCGATACGCAGTTCATACGGACAAGATATTAAGACAAGCACTTTTATCAGTGAAACCTCATTTTGCATTCTCATTGCTGTTCTTGGTCTAGTTCTCTTCTCACATCTCATGAGCCAGATGCAGGTATAATTTGCTCAAGGCATCTACTACATACAAGAAAATGTCTTAATTTATTAATCTAGGTCTAATTTTTCCCTCACATGGTTGAATTTTTGATACATTGGTTACTTATTTTTATAAATTTTCTGATTTCTTCAAGACCTATCTGCAATCTGCAACGATTAGACTTGAAGAATGGCGGGTAAAAAGGAGAGACACAGAGGAGTGGATGAGGCACCGTCAGCTCCCTGCGGAGCTGCAAGAGCGTGTTCGTCGGTTTGTTCAATATAAGTGGATTGCCACAAGAGGTGTAGATGAGAAAAACATTTTGCAATCCTTGCCTGCGGATCTCCGCCGCCAGATCCAAAGGCATTTATGCCTTGCCCTTGTTCGCCGTGTAAGCATTATGTTTGGGAGACTGTCAATCTAAACCATTGCTCACATGCTGACGCTTGCTGATAAGCGCAATGCAGCTGAGTTTATAAGTTGTTGGCACTGATCGTTTACTGGTGGTATAATTTCTTCAATTCTCAGGTACCCTTTTTCGCACAAATGGACGATCAGCTTCTAGACGCCATATGTGAACGTCTCGAGTCATCCCTGAATACCAGGAACACATACATCATCAGGGAAGGTGATCCTGTGAATGAGATGCTTTTCATCATCAGAGGGCAACTTGAGAGCTCCACAACTGATGGTGGAAGGACAGGGTTCTACAACTCAACTACCCTCAGGGCGGGCGATTTCTGCGGCGAAGAGTTGCTCACATGGGCCTTGATGCCTACATCAAGCCTCAACCTTCCATGCTCGACGCGTACGGTGAGGTCCCTAACCGAAGTTGAGGCATTTGCACTGAGAGCTGAAGACCTCAAGTTCGTTGCCACTCAATTCAAGCGCCTTCACAGCAAAAGACTGCAGCATGCTTTTCGGTACTATTCACACCAGTGGAGAACTTGGGGGGCTTGTTTTATACAAGTTGCTTG